AATACGGTGACTCCGGGCTATCTGTAAAGCAAGTGGTCACCCTGGGATTTAATCGGCTCGCATAGCGGGTGCCGAGTTAAATATTCAGGTTAATCAAAAAAAAAAGTATAGTAAGCCATTAAAATTGATTAAAACCCATTTTCATTATCCAGTATTTAATGATTCAAATAGCATTCACAGTATCATAACAGACACTGTGATTGTCATTTAAACATGAAAATTAAACAAGGTTTAAAAAAATGGTGTATTTTTTTTTTGTTTTATTGGTTTGCTGTATTTTTTTACTGATTTGTTAATTTATGAAAAAATAAATGATAAATTCATATCGTTTTATAAGTGTAAAGATTTATCCGTTAAAAAAAATGTTCATGGACCCAAACCCAATCGTTTAAAATAAAAATGTTCGTTGRTTTTTAACAGTTTTAATAAATCCAAGAACTTATTTGTTCGATTWCAAAAAGTTCAAATATATGGAACTCATGAAATGAGTTCTTAATTTGATGTGTTGAAAATTACGTGRTAAGAAAAAGTACGAAAATTGAGTTCTTATAAAATCCTGAATTGGAGATACTTCTTTTTTTGAAGTATATACGGCAAATGCAACAAATCAACTCACACATTCTTCTCATTTTTGATGAGATTTAAACTCTTGACTTTTTTAGATGTCAAAAACTATGATACCACTAGACCAAAATTTCTCTTGTAACAGGAGATACTCTTTATCACTGAAAACATGATCATTCAAGCATTAAAAAAAAGTTAAGAATAGTGTTTGATTAATAATTATATATGATTTGATTTGATTTTAATAATTATAAAAGAAATATTTTTCAATATAAGAATATGGTTAAACCATTAAAGTGGTCATCCTTTTTAAAAAGCACGTGCATCACATGTTCAAATTTTAATTTGATAATGGTGAGTCAAATTTAATAAGTGCGACTGAATTACCAAAATTGCCCTTGCAATATATGTATTTTTTTAATATATAATATTTATATACAACAAATAAAACTTACAACTATGATACCGTTAGACCAAAAACCCATTAGTATCTGTAATTTATTATATCTTTATAAATAAATAAATTTTTTGATTTTATTGTAATTTTGTATAAGTTCACCAAAATAGCAATCCGTACAAATAAACGTTTCATTTTATTATAATTTTACCAGTAAAGAAAAAAGGGAAAAACAGAAACGCGTTTTGTTATTTGCTGTTCTTTTGAGCCCAAACTTTCCTTTTAATAAAAGCATTCAGTTTGACTAAGTTTATTCCAATGATTGCAACTCGTTCAGAATTATTACTGAGTAAGCATAACAAGAAACTGAAAATATAACCTGGTAAAAAAAGACGTGCCAAGAACAGACAATTTTATCCTGTAACTGAGGATGGTGACTTGTACACAGTTAGCACTTACCAGTAAAATTGTAGCTCATTTTGATGGCAGAGAATCATACAAGTAAAGCAAGTGAAAGTAATGACTCTTACCGGTAAACATTATCTGATAAATTATTGAATTTATCTTGTATGGGATATTTATATATTCCCATTCCATTCCCTGTATTTTTGTACCATCAAGAAAGGGACAACATAAGCTTTTGAAACATGAGTGCACATAATTGGTCAGCTTTCGTCAATTATATTCTAGGAAGAATATATAACACAATAGTAGTTATCTTTAAAGAGATTGTACTCTATGCATTAATTGTTGTACCATGACCATATGGGATTTTACAGCTATTCTTTGAGAGAGGACCAATAGTAAGAGGACACCTCACCTTCTCTTTGTTCTTTGTATACTTCTCATTTTCAATGTCTTCCTTAAGACATCACATTTGAGATATTATTAAATCAGTAGTTTTTACGGAAACAGCTTCTTTATTTTTAAAGATAAGATAGAATCTGTATATGCTATAACTTTATTTTTTGTTGATAATTTGATAATACTGGAAGAGATTAAACTTTGAATCATTGATAAGCTGATATGACGGTTATGATCCTCTTTGTATAACAGATATATAACGAGGTTTACTTTATATTTATGTTTAGAGAAAATAGCATAAAATTGATTATACAGTAAAAGATACTTGTACGAGAACTTTCTTTTTTTACAATATCGTGATTAAGATTTATATACCAAAAATGAGTATGCTATTAATACGAATAAACGGTAGCACCTCTATTTTCTAAATATTCCATAGATCAAAAAACTTAATTAAGGATGATGGGACTATTTGAAGAGCTAAAATATTATCAATAAAAAAAATAAATAGAAAAACAAAATAAAATAAAATGGATGGTTTAGATCAGGGTTGTATTTGAAACGTGATTTCTCTTTCACTCCGTATATGTGTGTGTGTATGTGTGTATATGTTCATTTTAGGGGAAAACTCTAAATAAATGAAAACCCTAAAAACCACGAAAAAAACAAATGAAAAAGTATATATATTGACATGGATGTCATTTTAACGAGAAAAATATGATTGTTATTTTGGTATAATTTATTTCGCTCAAATTTTGTTTTTGTTTTTTTTTCGGTCTTTTTTTGAATAAAAAATAAGGGGTGGAGGGTTTTTAAATAAAAAAAAATCATTGTAACCGTTCGTTCATCAAATCATCTCATCTCACAGTTGATAAGGTGTTTTCTAGTTTTTCATTTATCTAAGGTTTCCCCTGAACCTCCCTCTCTCTCTCTAATTACCCTTGTATTTAATATATGAGTTACATTTGAACATAAAGAAAAGGTGGAATATGATTGGTTGATCTTGGTTAGCATAGTTAACACAAATTTTTTTGTTAGTATTTGAACCAAGCTATATATATATATAGTTCAAACAAGAACATATTCATCTTTCAAAAAACAAAAAACACATTTTACTATAATCAATTACATATATGATACAATCAGAGATGTGAATGACCTTTGGCACGACCTAAGTTGCAAGTCAAGTCGCACGCACACTACTAAACCCCTTCACATGTATTATCACGTGTGGTCAGGGTGTTCTTAATAACATAATCGATCACATGTGATACTAAATCAAAAACGTAGACCATCTTTCACGCGACATAGGTCACGGGCCAAGTCGTCTGCACACCACCAGGTTCCTTCACGTGTATTATCACATATCATAAGAACGTTCTCGGTTTTCACATCCGTCTATATATATATATATAATCCTTATAGAAAAGAAAATTTTTAGCACCTTGAATGTCGGTCATTAAGATCTCATAACCCAAAAAAGATGTTGACTTTTCTCCAAGACAAACACGTTGAAAATGATAACGTTATATGTGTTTTCATGCCGGTTAATTGTATTAGAGTTGAACAAAAGAAACGTAATAATCACATAACACGGTATAAACATTGTATTTTTATATGTGTCGTTTCATATGTGAAACAATACAAGAAAACTGATCTGTTAAATTCATTAGGTTTATAAATGATTATACATCTACGTATGCATAATATGGTGTTCCGGTCATAAGAACGACCCTTCTTCGTAACATCTTTTACATTTTATTGTAACGTTTCTTTGTTTTTCACAAAATTTAGATCTCTCACATGATCCCAAAACCAATTTCATATATATAGGGAAGGGTTCAAACGAGAACATGATATCTTTTTATTATAGTCAATCACATGTGATAACATAATCCACAACATATGATGAACATGTTTTACTAAATCAGATATGCAGACAACCTTTGACGTCACCTAGGTTTCGAGCCAAGTTACCCGCACATCATTAGCAGGCTCCTATCACATGTGATAAGGTGTTTTCAGTGTGATATTGTAATCTATTACATATGATACATATGTGATACAAAATCATAGATGTATACGACATTTGGCACGATCAGCGGCGGACTTAGTTAGGAAGGAGTGGGGGAAGGGGCCCCATTAAAAAAAATTACAAGGGTTAAAAGTAGTTTTTTTTTTTAACTTTTCTCTTAGTTCCTCCCAATAAATTTTTTTTACAAGGGACCCCACAACCCTAGTCGACCATGCCGACTCCAAAAAGGTCTCTTGAAACCAACCAAAATAATCCTTCGAAATCGACAAAAACACTAAAAACTCCTTCGAAATCAATAAAAAAAACTTTAAAAATCCCTCGAAAAGTTTCAATTAGGTTAAAAACACGTCGGACGACTTTGTGGGCCTTTAGTCTACCTTAAAGGTGACCCCACTAGATAAAAATCTTGGATCCGCCACTGGACGACCTAGTTCGAGGCCCAAGTCACCCGCACACCACCAGGTCCCCTCATAGTCATGTGATAAAGGTGTTCTCGTGTTTACGTAAAATAGAAGTGTTATCGTTCTCATTTGAACCTCTACCTATATGTTTAGGTTTGGATTCACGTGTTACCAGCCTGTTTTCATGAGATTCATAAGACCAAATTTTTACACTTGAAACTTCACTGCAAAAATTCACTATGAAGGTTACCTTATCACAAAAAGATAAGATAGGGTTAGGTTCCGATGAGAATAACAGATACAGTGAGAATGCGAGAACAAAACATTCATATACATTCAACTACCTTAACCATTCTTATCACTATGATCGAAACTTTAACAAATCCATGCATGTAAAAGCAGTTAAATGTACGTAAAAGTTCGTGTAATTGGAGGTCGTAATTGAAGGTAAGTGAAAGTAGACGAAGAAAACTAAGTTAGATTAAAAAGTCAACTCATCTAAATGAAAGACTTAGATGTATTTTTACCATTCTCACCGTAACTGTCATTCTACGTATACAATTATACATACACGTGTGTGTATATATATATAGTGACATTTCGATGTGTCGTTGTTGTGACGGATAGCGACGGTTTTTATCTATTTTCGAGAGCGGTGGGGCAAAGGTTGAGCAGTTCGCTTGATGGAAAAGATTTGAAATACCAACCCACTGAAAAGGGGAGATAAGAGAGAATCTGTGACTATATAAACAACCCAAAAGCTTCCCATTCATAAACACATCTACAATTCTTCACTCTAAATTGAAGACTCACATGGAGCATCTCGAGAAAGGTCGAGCGCACGAAATCGACGAACAAAAATGGGTTTACGATTCCTCGTTCGATCACCGAGGAAGAAGGCCTCTCCGTGCTTCCACCGGAGCTTGGAAAGCCTCTTTCTTCATCATCGGTAACCACCCTGATTTCCGCTATGTTTATCCATTGAAACTTGTGATGTCAAATGTCGATATGCTTTATACTTGTAAAACTCGTTTGCATTTTGACCTTTTGTTTTGAACGTTGGTGGAAAGAGTAGGCTTAATTTCTTTCGGTTTCTGACTGGATGAGCTTAATATGTCTTACTTGGAGGTGGAGACGGGGTATGTGTACACCTGTCAACTTCTCGGTGTACGATATACACAGATCTGTCACCTTTTTGGAACGTAAAGTGATGAGATAATTAAATATTTTCACTGAACTTGGTAACATGGTACACGTGACATTAAAATAACACATTCTTATGATCTTTTGTGACAATTCAGTTTAAAGAAAGCAACACCCTTTTTTATGATCAGGGTATTTGTTCAGTAACACTCATTATTATATATATATATATATATATATATGTATATGTATATATATATATATATATATAACGTTGTGTTTAATATATAGTGTTGTGAATGAAGAGCATTTCAAACGTTGTTGCATCATTGTTCACTGTAAACAGTATTAAAGATGGAAAAGGAAGGCCATAATTGCACCCCAAAAGCATAGTCAAAAGGCTAAAGCAGTGTAAAGTTGGAGTTTGATTGGCCATCAGGATGGTCTACAAACAATCCAAAAGATTGGATTCGATAATTTATTATCATTCATATATAATATATATATATATATATATATATATATATATTATCTTATAAACCAAATTTTTCAAAAATCTTACAAACAATTTTTAATGCACAAAGTATTATACATTTATGTACAAAGTCTTGCAAGTCTTAAAAACAACTCATAATGCATTAAGTACTACTACTTTATGCATTTAGTCTTAAAACTTAATCTACAATTAAAATAGCATATAGTACAAGTTACTAATGCGCATTATTACTTTTTCTTTTCATGTTTCCAAGATACTTTTGATACATTTTACTCATGTCTTCACTTTCTTATATCTCTATGTCTTATCTCCATCCCCTAAGGTGAGATTCAAATTGATATTCACCGTGAGTTATTAAAAGTTCTCTCATTCATCTCTCATTCAATTGCTCAAGAACTCTCGGTCTCGCTCTCTTGATTCTTTGCTCTTGGTGTAAATCGAACGCATTTGTGGAACCATCTCTCATTCTTTGCTCTTGGTGTAAATATATTGGATTTTAAACTGTCATACAACTTTTTTCGTCCATAAACTGTAATTGGAACCATAACTCCTATTTATTCAAATTGTATTAATATGTAAAGACCAAATGTGATTTATATCATCGTTAAATCTTCTCCAATAAAGCCAGTGAAACTTCAAAATCATTAAAATTCACGGCTCTCCGCCATATTGCGCGGGTACACAACTAGTATACACACACACACACATAAGATTGGGTTCACGTGAGACCAGTTTGTTTTCGTGGGATCTGTGAGACCAATTTTTTACACTTGAAACTTCACAGCAAAACACTATGAAGATAAAAAAGAGCCGAACCTTCACTGGTAAAAGCACTGTCAATGTTACCTTCACAGCGTTTTGCTATAAATTTTCATGTGTAAAACGTGGTCACGGGTCTCACAAAAACAGGTTGTTCTCAAGTGATCTCAAGTTTCTCTCTCTCTCTCTCTCTMTMTATATATATATATAGAGAGAGAGAGAGATGTTCAAACATGAACACTCTTCATGTATGAACTTGTAAAGACACCTTTTTGATCATATAAAATTATACGATATTGGGACTTCTTGTTTTCTCGTAAATTGATCGTCTTCTCTTTTGAACCTGAATATTATATATACACACACACACACACACACACATATATATATATATATATACACACACACATACATACATGGGGACCTTCTTTTTGAGAATTCTTTAAATCGTGATCTCTAAGAAACGATGCATCATGTATTATTTCCTATTTTATCTATGATTAGAATTTAATGTAGTAATTGACTTATATTTATTTTACATTGTGTTTGTTTCAGATGTACTCAATTCACAATGTGAACCTTTTTTGGGCTTTAGTAAAACAAAGAATACATGTAAAAAAGTTTCACATCATGAACCGAATACATATAAAATAAATATATTGTGAAACAAATATACGTTCATCAATATATTAAATAATATACTTAAGTTGAAAGAATCTTGTGAAACAAAACCTTAAATAGAAGTTTTCACAGATCTCACAAATTGTTTGAGTCATAAAATGATTGAGCCTATATGTATATGTATATGTATATGTATATGTATATGTATGCATAAGTATATGTATATGCCTCGGTTTAAATGAGAACCGCAAATATTCATTGCTGAAATTTATATAATGTATATTTATCAATGAATACAAACTATAAATTAGTTCTTTGATTCTTAGATTATTTGTGATTCTCACATGAACTTTCCCCCGTAAAACGAAATGTTATATTCTGCTAAAGTTTTCGATCTTACAAGGGTTAATGTTATGATTAGCGGTTTTGTTGTGGCGGAATATGATGGATTTGTTTTGATATCGTTTGTAACGTGAACGTATTTTGCAGCAATCGAGTTTGCAGAGAGGTTGAGTTACTTCGGGATAGCAACGAGTTTAATCATATACCTTACCGTAGTCATTCATCTAGACGTAAAAACATCAGCCAAGACCGCCAATCAATGGGCCGGTGTAACCACTCTGATGCCGCTCGTTGGAGGCTTTCTAGCCGATGCTTACTTGGGACGTTTCCCCACGGTTCTTTTATCGTCGATTATCTACCTAATGGTAATCCCCGACTAATGATTCGGTCCTAACGTTATAACATGGTGTTCTTCAATTCCGCATTTAGTTTCTGGGAAAAAAAAAGATTTCAAATTCATTTACACGACAAAAGAACACAACTGGTATTAAGAGTTTTACATCAGCTAAAGTTGGCTCTTTCTGCTTTAATATATGTTGGAACCTCTGTTGCTTTTTTAAAGACTGTTTAGAAGAGTAATTTAATGGGGTTCCACATATGTGACAGCTAAAAAAATGTATTACTAAAATGGACTTGAAAAGGTGGTATCACGGGTCTCACATAACTCTTGGTGCATTATGTGGTTCATTAAAACAAATTTGGTTTTATAAGACGTCAAATATGTCTAAATATCCTAATAAAATGTTATAAAAGAATGTTGACAAGACCTAATAATTGTGTCATATGTAAAGATGTTACAATAAGTTGATATAACGCTCGACTATTGCATTTGCAATACTTCGTTCTGCTACCTTCCGATGTTGCTTACTAAACACTCATCCAATCTTGAAATTGGAGTGAAACCTTCTGAAATAAAGTGTCGTACTAGTTTTTTTTTAGATCGGAACTTGAATATGACTTATTATGTTCGTTTACCGACCACAGGGTTTGATTCTCTTAACGTTGTCGAGTATGGTTCCGAGCTTGAAGCCATGCGCAAGTCACGACCATTGTCTAGAACCACGGAAAATCCACGTAATCGTCTTCTTCATCGCAATATACTTGGTGTCCGTGGGAACCGGTGGCCACAAACCCTCGTTAGAAAGTTTCGGAGCCGATCAATTCGACGATGATCATCCGGACGAACGCAAAAAGAAGATGTCGTTCTTCAACTGGTGGAACGCGGGCCTTTGCGCTGGACTATTACTCGGTGTAACGCTTATCGTATACATGCAAGTGCACATTGGTTGGGGTCAAGCGGATATCGTTCTTACAGCCGTAATGGCTTGTTCGGTGGTGATCTTCGTCATCGGGAGGCCAATTTATCGATATCGGAAGCCCGGAAGCCCGTTGAAACCGATGATACAAGTGTGTGTTGCTGCATTTTCTAAAAGAAATCTGTCTTACCCTTCTAATCCTAGTGAGTTATATGAAGTGCCTAAATCAGTAAAGACCCAAGAGAGGCTCCTTTGCCACACAGAAAGCTTCAAGTAAGCAAATGTCTTAATAGACTGTTTTATATTAAGCTGTGTCTTAATAGATTGTTTTATGTAACCAAACAATCATGTTCTTATTCCGCTTCTTTTACAGATTTCTTGATAAAGCGGCGGTTATCGAAGAAAAAGATTTTTCCGACACGAAGCAACAAGATCCATGGAGACTAGCGACCGTAACGAGGGTCGAGGAAATGAAGCTGCTATTGAATATGATCCCTATTTGGCTAACTACCCTACCGTTCGGGATGTGCGTTGCACAATCCACGACATTCTTCATCAAACAAGGCACCCAACTGGACCGCGAGATCACGCGTAGCTTCACCCTCCCACCAGCCTCGATCTACAGCCTAGCGGCCTGCGGTATGATGCTTTCGGTAGCGGTTTACGACCGAATCCTAATCCCGTTATTAAGACGTGTAACGGGAACCGAAAGAGGAATCAATATCCTCCAAAGGATCGGGATCGGACAGGCGTTTTCCGTCACAGCCATGATCGTGTCCGCCGTTGTCGAAAGAAAGCGGCTGACCATCGTTCAAAATGACCCGTTACACAGCTCGATCACCATGAGCGTGTTCTGGTTAGCACCCCAGTTCGTAATCATCGGAATCGCAGATGGGTTCACTTTGGTTGGTCTCCAAGAATACTTTTACGACCAAGTTCCGGATTCAATGAGGAGCTTAGGGATCGCGCTGTATTTGAGCGTGATCGGAGCCGGGAACTTCTTGAGTAGCTTCTTGATCACGATTGTCGATCATGTGACGGAGAAAGTTTCCGGCAAAAGTTGGTTCGGAAAAGATTTAAACGGCAGCCGTCTGGACCATTTCTACTGGTTTCTGGCGGCCATCACGTCCGCGAACCTCTGTGTGTATGTGTTTGTGGCCAGCAGATATTCGTACAAGAATGTGCAGAGAAAGACCACCGGCGGCACGGTGGCGGTGGCTGATTGCTACCAAGGTGATGGCCAAGGGGCAAGGGCTTGATATATATATATATATATACACATAAATAAATTTGCAGGCCAGTAGACAGTAGTTATAGGAATATGTTTTATATATATGAATTAAAATTATATATGGCAATAGAGATTCAATTGCAAACGACAAACGAGAGCGTGTCATGTTGCCACGTGTCCAGTTATTTACATGGTATTCATCATGAATATTTAGGTTCATTATTCATGATGAATGGAGGACACGTGTCGCTCCCTCCTTTGTTCATCAGTTCACAACGGATGACATGTTTGCAAATGAACTTTATGATCCATTTAGTATAAAGATTTTGCTATCTTCTTGTAATTTTAGATTCATGAGTATGTACGCGATATATTCAATGGATTTTCAATCCCTTGCTTTTTAATTTCTCCTGAAATACATACTGCTGATAAGGAAATACCTACGCTATCAAACGCCTTCTAAAACCACGCAGATGTGGATAAAACGGACAATATCGAGTACAGGTGTATGAGATGTTACATTTCTCATCCCAATAAGAACTTCGTAGTATGCATCTAAGGTTTTCAAAAACATATCGTATCTATCGTTCCAGTAAACGAACGATTTGTTATAACAACTTGGATGAAAACAAAGATACGGTATACAATGAATCGAATAGACCCGAACAAATTTTCCAAGTCTTTTTTCCAATTATGCCCTTGAATTAGAGAGAAGACAAGAAATGAAACACAACATATACCATCAAAATTTCCAGAAACAGAAGAATATATTGGAATTGGGATGACCATTTCCGGAATCTACCACCTATACACCAAAAAAATTTAACTCATAGCCTGCTACCGTAACCTCCTACAAAAACCATACATTTTTTTTCCCGATCTCTATCCTAACGAAGAACTGGTTCATCGCGCGAAGAGAATTGAAGATCTACAGGTAGTACGGATACTAGCGTTAAAAAGGTAGAAATAGAACAAATGCAGAAACTTGGTCACCTAAAAAGTCCCTTCCGAGAGAAGCTTCTTCAGTGTCTCGTATGTCATGAAAACGATTCCTACACCAGGGACGACTTTGTAAAACTCTGGAAGAATGCCTCTATATAGACCACGAAAGCCTTCACTGCGCACGATGTGCCCGAATGTCCCAACTAACCCCGTATTGTAAACACGTGCCCGACCACCCACTCCTTCCAACTGCTTTCTCCTTCTCACGAGATCCAAAGGAAAAGTTGCTGCAAAATGGGAAATAAAATAAATACACGGATGCAATCAAACTAAATGCAATATTTCCTTTTTTTTTGCGAGTTTCTATCTAGAGTCACAACTTTGCCTATCAAAATGAACCCAGTAAATGCCACTCAAAAAATATAGTTTGAGGTGAGATATATGTAGACCTAAAATCTATCCAAAGAGTAAAGCAACTGTTTCCGTAAAGACCCCTAGCAAAAGTACGGTTTAGCATATGGTGAACAAAGCACGTGAGAAATAAGTAAGAAAAAAACCAATAAGTGTACAACAACACACTGAAAAGGTAAGGCAAAAATCAGGGCCGTGCCTGCGGGTGTTTCAATATGAGACAAGGACAAGGGCCCCCGAAACTTTTGGGCAAATTATACATGTTTTTAGCTTTTACACAATTATATATGCTTTAACTTCAAGCCAAATTATAACATTTTACGCTGTTACTTTTTTTAGCCAATTAGGCTTAAGTGAATTTCATATGTTACCTTGTCATTTTGAGACAATTTTGTTGTTTTAATTTGGAAGACTTCTGATATAACATACAGTATGAACTTTCATATTTTCGTTTATTTATTACTCGTCCAATCAATATATAGTCTTGGTACAAGCGTAACAGAGCTTCCAAAAAGATTGGAAAACCGTCGATAAAAACATATCCCCAGCCTAAACTGCCAGTCCTCTTACCCCCCCCCCCCCCCCAAAAAAAAAAAAAAAAAAAACTCCCTTGTATTCAACTACATCATCTATAGGCTGCACCCTTAAGGATCAAAAAAATGTAAAGAAACAGGACATAGATAAAGATGGTGGGCATGGATGTCTAAAGGGATGCATTATTGCAGACAAGCTGACCTGTTGAAGAAGCAATGCCTGAGAGACTGCCACAAGTGAGACTGACCATGACAGTGGAATCGTTTGGCCTATCATAGAATGAACGTATCAACACCGAGTTGCAAAAAAGCTGCATTTATTTTTGTGTTCAACATGTGTACAGAGCGTATACCTTTGAGATTTCCAATATGACCGCAAGCTTTCATAAACAGAAAAGCTAATCGCGATACTTGGTCCAACACCCTGCAAGAGTGACAAAATGGAACCAAGTGCACATGATTTATAGCTGAAAAAACTACAACAAAATCGGTTTTATAGGAGACCAACTATGTCTACATGTCTTAACAGACTACAGACTTAAATTTATCAAACAATTATATGTCCTACATAAGGTGTTACGATAAATTAATGTCAACTTTTGGCCTTCCTAACAAGCTTTTTTAGGGCACTTTTGAAATGAAGTGTCATGTTAGCTTTTTATAGAACATTTTTTAGAAGTGTCCTATAAACACATCATTTTATACGGCACTTGTTTTAAGACGTGTTTTAAAATAATGTCATATAAAAAGACAAATAGAACGTTTAATTTCAAAAGTGTCCTGAAAAGTTGTTAGGAGGCCCAAAAGCGTCCTATCAACTTATTGTAACAATAACACCTTTATATATGACGCCCAACTGTTTGGTCTTATAAACATAAGTCCTACATAGTAGTTTATTAAGACATTTAGACATATTTGACGTCCTATAAAGACGATTTTGTTGTAATGGAAGGTTTGAAGTAGTACAGTAAAAGTGATTACCAATAAGGTTGCTCCAAGTCCCTTATACAAGCCAAAAAAACCCTCTTCTCTGCAAATTGTACTGAGCGCATGCCCGATTCCCTGATAGTATATTGTGCTTCTCTGCAATATGAAATAAACAAAGGTAAGACTGTAGTCCCTACAGGAATACACGAGGGCACTGGTAGAAACTGTTGGTGCAACCTAACATAAGCTATACATAAAACACTCTCATTGAATTAAGCAAAAGTAAGAACATTTTGTAAGTACAAAAGATAAAAGAGCAAACATATTAACAAGATCAGATAAAAACCAGTGTTCCAAAAATCGGATTAAGCAGCCGCCTAGGCAGAGGCGAGGGGCACAGAGCCGCGATTATGATCAAATCGGAAAATTAAGTGGTTTAGCTCAGATGGTTGAACTTACCAGCTGCCACTAATTCCATCTTGCAAGTTCCACGTTTTCAATTCGCCTTCTGAGTTCCAACTTCATCTTGCAAGTTCCGATTTTGTCTTTGCAAATTCTGATTTCAAGTTGACGTTGGAGAATCGAAGGAGTATTGGGGCAATTAATTATATGTAATTGAAAGAAGAGATAAAAAGCCAACTGTAGTTTGTCAAATGTTTCTGATAAAGAACCCCCAACTTCGTGCTAGCAAATAAAAAGTTAACTTATGACCAAGTTTCATCAATGACAAACAACCCCCTCAGCATTTCTTCTTAATATATATACATTTTATACGCACTATCCTATTCACTTTCAGAAACTGTTAACTTGTTAAAATTATCCCTAAAATATAGACAAAATGAAAAGAAACTTGAGGACTTGAATTTATTTGGTTAATTTATTAAAAATATACTATAATGGTACGAATAGAAAAATTGGTAATTCTAACACTAAAGGCTATTTTATATATCAATTGAATTCCATACATTAAAAATAGATTGCTTAATGCATCCACTTAATAATCCGATTAAACCTCGTATAATTGATCAAGCGCTAGTCGCTCGGTCAACCGCCTGGCTCCGCCTAATGCCTTTTAGAACACTGATACAAACATCAAAAGCGGTGAATAACAATATCTATTCTATAAACTTCATTGACATTTCTACAAAAACATAAATGAATATAATTTTAATTAGAAAAAGAAATAGTTACTGGATAATTTAAAGCATTCCTTTTACACCTGCGCTGCAAGACGTGTCCTGACAAGATCTAAAGGATAAGTGGCCATAGCAGCTGTTATTCCCGACATTCCACCGCCAACGAAGTGCACACAAGCATCTGCAGCTGCACTTTCGCTGTTATTTCCTATACTTGGAATTGACTTTAACAACTGCAAACAATAAAATAATTAAAAAGTTAATGGTGACACGTGAGGAGCTTCTAATAGTCCCTTAATAGCATCGTCATAAAAAGCATAACACAATATTAAACTAGAAACTAATAAATGGACACAAATAACTCACCTTTTTGTACTGCTCATAGGCATAGAAGTTAACTGCTGTATAAGGAAGGCGATGAGCAATAGTAACCAGATTTCCTTTCCAAAAGGCTCTAAAACCCTCTTCATTAGCAATACGTGATGCCTCGTTCCATATACAAGGCCTGCTCAACAGTGCCACCTCAGAATGCATACCTTGCACCTACAGAATCCAACACAAAATTGACCACCCATTAAAGATTATGGAAGTACCAATCAAATTACAATGCCCAAACATGTGGACCAATAAAAGAAGATAAGAGAAAGAATTTCAACAATGTAATGGAATTGCTCTCATTAGGAAGAACATGGTGAAGAAAAATGAAACACAAAGCAGGAGAGAAAGAACAACGTACCTTTGTTTGATTCTAAAGAGAAATATACAATGGTAGCTATGAAGCTCCATATTGTATTACTAAAGTAAACGTTACTACCTCCAAACAGAAACTAGAAGATCTAAACAACCTTTCCTTTACCCCTATTATAATCAAATTAATCAACTTTCTAAAGAAGATTTTTGTAATATGCAATTTTCTATGCATCTAAGAGAAACTCATGAAACTACACACAGTTTCTCAAATATTCCTTCTTATGATCCTCGGTATCGCTTGTTGATTGAATGAGATCTGTTAAAATGGTATGTTCATCAAGTTTCATGCAAGATACATCACATTTTACAACATACCCAGTTCATATGCAATCTTAAATATCCGCATAACTTTAAAAAAATGAATCCAACACTTTGTAGGGAATGTTAGATTTGTGGTTTAGCGTGATAGATAATAGGTCTGAAACGATTCCATTCTGTGGATGAACTCAGCATTCAAAATTCTACAGCAGAAGATAGAAATTCAAAGACCATGGCTTGGAAGACGGATGCGCAAAAGAACTAATGAACAGAAAAGAATCCATGGATGCCTTAAACCCTTTTGATCTTTTCCATTTCCTGAATATAAAAACTAGACTTATACACCTATAAAACCCCAATCCGGGGTCCCGGTTGCAGATTCATCCAATTTCCAGACACAGTTTCATCCAACAAATATAAATCAAATATTCATAATAAAATACAATTATCAAGTGATCGAATTACCTGAAAGAGAATCGTGAGGCGTGCGAGCGGAGCCGTACATGTTTTGCTAAAAGCACCCGCAATACCTCCCGCCAGAAGCTGCGGTACCGTGCCTATCTCCGCAGACTGTTGATGATGACGTGGCGACGAAGCCGATGCCGTAGCCGGCGCCACCACCTGCTGCTTTTGCAAAAACTTCACCGCGGTACTGCCATCCACAACTCCTCCATGACTAGATACCCCCACTTGAGCTTCCATCCACAACAATTTGTGCGATGAAAATCGTTAAACACTTGGAATTTGGAATATAGATTGGCAGAGGATTTATACGATTTGATCATAAAGCAAGAGAAACCCCTGAAAAACCCTAATATCTTCATTTAAAATTTGTAATCACTGGATCTCAACCCGGCCCGGCCCCAACCGCAAAACTGTGGCCCAAAAGTTCCAGCCCGTTGAAGCCCAAACATTGATCCTAAATGTCTTCAACAAAACCCGAACCGGTTACGATTTTAAAGACGAAACGATAATCGTGTAACGTTTTAGCTTGAAATTTTTGACGATCGATATCATGTGGTTTGAGAATTTAGAAAAGGCAATTAATGGAACGTAATTGTTATTCTGATTAACTGAAAGTAGGATCGATCGAGTCAGTTAAAAATAGGCAACGAGTTCAAACAAAACGTTAAACACAGTGTTTGAAATACCGCAAAAATGTGAGATCACAATAAACTAGAAAGAGAAAGAGAATATGCTACAAACAGAATATATTATAATAAATGTGAAATTATATATGAAAAGTAGGATATGAGTTTTTTATTATATACTAGAATGATATTTGCACAATGCAGCAAAATACATTTTGGTTTTAATATTTTTGTTTTATTTTTTGTTTTTGTCGATATAATACGGTTTTATATAATTTTGAGAAAACAATAATGTTTTTATTTTTGAATAAAGTATAAATTTGAAAAAAAAAAATACATCGATATTAGTATCAAATTAACTATTTAAAATTTCTAGTTTTATGTATATATTTTTTAATTTAATTTTTTATTATAATTTAATTTATGTTTGATAATGAAGTAATTTATTTTTGATTTGATAATATATTTCTATACAAAGATAATAATTAAGTATGTTGTTAAAAGTCAATGATTATCCTGATTATATTTTAGAATTTTTATATTTAAAATGAGATATTTATCTTGTATTTAATTATGTTTTATCTACAGTTAGTTACACGAATTGAAAAATAGAGCTTTTGTAAATTATACTTATATACAATTTACATGTAGTCTTGAACTTTAAGTAATATACATTAGATAATAGTATTTTATTCATAAAAGTGGTTTTAAGAACTTTTGGCAAAAGCTTTATAATATAGTATAGATAATAAGACCCGTCAGACGGGTTGAATATTGAGTCAAAATAAGTTTGGGTCAACATAGGTCGAGTCATATTGGGTTGACTCGTCAACATTTTCATAAATTTCACAAATAATTTTCATGAATTTCAACAGTTAAGGAAATCAATTTTTGTTTTCACAACTTTAATTTAGAGTCTAAAAAAGCAAGTTTTGCAAAGGTTCATTTAATATCGGTTTATTTTTCTATGTTTTTTATGATATCTCCAATTAATTATTTCAAATAGAGAAAACGGAGCTTTTATTCTGTAGGTTGTTATCTGAAATATAGATATCCATTTAAAGAATTCATAAAATATTAAATGTGGAAAGAGAATTCATTTTTTTATTTTAAAAAATGGACCAATGAAATTATTGAATTATTATTATTTTATATAACTTTTAAAATATGTATTAGGGTGATACATTTATAACATATTTAATAATATAACATATGTTGAAATATTTATAGAAAAAAAATCTATTGAAGTTAAATGTAATTGTTAACCAGTTATGATTTTTAGAAAATTTCCTAGCTCCACCCGTCCCAGGACCGGTTATACATAGATCCTTTTTTTTTCTTAAAGTTAAGTTTTTAGAAATTATATATCAAATTTTTCAATATTTTTACAAGATTTTCAAGTTTTTTGTTTTAATCTTTTTCAAGTTTTTGTAAGCGTTCCACTACTAAATCTCAAAAATAATAACTATAAAACCATTTATAACATTTTTGTATAAAAAAATTTAGAAAAATATTTTTAAAGTATATTTGAACGRCTCAATTAAAAAAAAATTAAGTGAATTTTCAATAAGATTATTTTTCTTACGTTCAAAATTGAGTTTTGGAAGAAAAATGATCGGGACCGGTTTGGACCCCGGACCAAGACCGGTTCTCATAACCGATTATGAATAACCTAAATCAGGCCTTGAGTTTTTGGTCAGGACCTAAACCAGTACCGGTTTAGGAAATAGTATTTAGGATCCGAGACCGATTTTTAACCATCTCTAGGTTGAAGTGGATTTAACAACAGAAATAAACTAATTGCATCTTTATACATTGTTAAAACTGTATCTACTTTTTATATTTTTAATACATGATTTAACCTGATTTTGGAGTCATCTCCAAAACTAATATTTGAGTAATGTAAAACTAGGTGTTGGGGAGGCAGTGATAGGTAAGGCAGGAGGGAATCATGAATCCCAAAAGCCTTTGATGACATTGATAGTTGTTCAAAGTACCACCATTGCTTTTTACCCCAACATATTTCTGACACCATCTCTACCCTTTTTTTATTTTTTTTAAATATTATAATAATTTTGTCTTTTACCTAAATTATCCCCAATAAAATAAAATAATAGCTCAAAATATAACAAATTTAAAGAAATATAAAAATAATATTTTAATTTTTTTAACAATAAGAGTTATTAAATACAAATGTTTAGAAGTATAAATAACATTTTGTTAAACTGTATAAAATATTTTAAATAATATAAATAATGTCAGATTTGTTAAACTAAAGTAGTTGTTGAAGTTAACTGTAATTTTATAGAGATTTTAAATTTTAAATTTTATTTTTTTAAAATAACAATATAGTTGTTGGAAATACTCTAAATTGTTACTCAAATGTTCATTTGAGAGGTAGTTACGGCATAGATCTGCATATCAAACTTCTTATTTATTAGATGTATTGTTCATGTTATTCTTACATCGCTTGATCCGTCATATTTTCCATTCTTACAAACAATTTTATGTTTTTTGAAAAAAAAAACAGCATCAAGAACGACGACAGTATTTATATCTGTCATAAGTGGAAGTTATTCGATACGACTATCATATTAAGAGAGTATTTGGTACCTACACAAAATTTAGGAGATGACAAAGAGTGTCTTGAACAAAAAACGCATTTTTTTAGGACAAATTGTATAAAAAATTAACGTACTTTAACTTGATTTAAAATTTGGGTAACGTATTTTCAAAACTTCCATTTAAGTACTCGGGTAACCGGTTGAAGCATTAACCGGTTACCATGTTGACGTGACGAGTATTGTGGTATCCAACTCATTATTATTTGTTGAAGCATTAACCGGATACCACATTATTCGCCACATCAACATAGTAACCGGTTAATACTTCAACCTGTTACTCGGGTACTTAAATGCTTAAAACTTTACATATCAGTAACAAAATGAAAGTTTTGAAAGTACGTTACCCGAAATAATAATCAAGTTAAAGTACGTTACTTTTTCATGTAATTTGCTATTTTTTTATCCCATCAAAATAGATAGAACAGAAACAAAAAAGATGAGACATGATTAATAAACAAATAAATTACGCATGTCAAATTCAAACCCTTAAACCTACAACACTTTCAATAGTCTATGATCATTATTGTTCATTCAACCTTATTTGCGTACCAAAATCCATCCTAATTGAATGTATATTTAATGACGTATATCTTATCTAGCCAATGAGTAGATACATTCAAATTTAAATATTTTAGATTAGGGAAAGAAAAAAACGTGACATACACTTCGTACTAAATAAGTGTCTACATTATTATTTTAGTTGTCATAAAATACGTATTTATTTTAAAAAAGTAAATGTTTATTTTCCCATTTATAGTATTAATTATAAGATGGAGAAAACTTATCACAAATATGTATTTATTGTATTCTCGAAATCTTTTTTATGAAGGAAAGGAAAGCAAGAGAAAGTATAGGAACGTAAAAATACAGAAGGAAAAGGAAATGGAAAGTGAGATTAAAACCCATGAAAAGTTATTAAAGTTACAAACATCTCACCTTTTTATTTTTAAGACCATCTTCAATTCAACACTAAAACAATAGAGCTTTAAAATGCTGATCTCTGTATTTAGAAGTCAATAAAGTAGAACTCTAAGAAAATATATTAATATTTTATTCAATTTTATAATTATATATATATATATATAT